TATGTCTGTCTGTCTATCTTCCTTCAATAATTGAAACTGATATATCATAATTTACAGTAGTTGAATCTTGTTTGCTCGACGACGAGTCAGAATCTACCGCAAGTCTCGAAATAAATCCAGGCTGTTTAGGCTCAGGCAATCTCAATCCACTGTCACCAGCCAGCATCAGAACTATCCAAGACATTAGTGGCCGATCCTCCGGCCTCTCTTGAACACATAACAAGCCAATTTTTATGCACTTCAGAACTTCATCAACTGAGAAATCAGAGTTCATTGTTTCATCAACTATATTCAGGCTATTTTCTTCATTCCACAGACTCCATACCTGCATCATATATACATTATACATAATTATACATAAGAGACAAAATAATGATTATTAGTGATCAAATTATTCAGTACTTAAAGCTTACGTGGCCAAGAAGATTCATGTGAGGAGAACTGCTGTAAACCCCTCTGTTCCTCTTTCCACTAATGATTTCCAGCACCAAAACTCCAAAACTAAATACATCTGACTTCATCGAGAAGACGCCGTCCATTGCATATTCTGGCGGCATGTATCCGCTGGAATTTAATATCATAGTTAACAATTAGATATATGAGTTTGTATACATTGAGGACTGACTTCGAATGCCATGAAACGAAGTGTATATAGTTATTTATTTATATACTTACTATGTACCCACAACTCTTTTAGTATTCACTTCCGTTTCATCTCCACCAAAAATTCTTGCCATGCCAAAGTCTGAGATTTTGGGGTTCATCTCTCCGTCGAGGAGAATGTTGCTGGCTTTGAGATCCCGGTGGATTATTCGAAGCCTCGAGTCTTGATGAAGATAAAGGAGGCCACGAGAGATTCCGAATATGATTTCGTAGCGTGTTCGCCAATTTAATAGCACCGATTTGGCTTTATCTGTGAGATTTTTGTGACTGTCAAAAGATACTAGTTTTATCTTTTTTTCAATTATGATATGGATAAGAAAGACGCATACTGCAAAAATTTATGTTAGACACCATTCACTAACAGATGGAAGGGTAAAATGGCATTCTTATTTTTTGTGTAAATAAAATCAAGCAGAAGATAATTTTTTAACTGTTCAAAGTTAATTAATAAGGTACAACAAACGATGATTATGAGCAAGGATTACTGAAAATTTAAATATATAAATTATACTTATATATATATATATATATAT